GCAAGTTGCATACCCTTGCTCTGTTTGAACAACTGCCTCTCGGTTGTGCATAGATTGCATGTGAGCACAATTAACTGTTCTAGAATTTTCATTTTTCACAATGTTACCTGTAATTTGTTCTAATACACACAAGAGAATGCCCTTGTATTGTCAATAAAACAGCCATTCCTTTTTTTAGCCAATATCCATCTGACAGAAGCATTGATCTGTCTTGTTCCACAGCCTCTTTGAAACCCAACTTGATTTCTGGCAGGATAGACAAAATAAAAGCAACAAAAACAAATCAACTGCCAGCAAGTGGATTGTGACTCAGATAAGAACCCTAAATTGAAGATGTAGCTCAACCTTTGACCACTAGAGGTCTCCTCGAAAGCAATGACCCGTATAACCCGGTTTATCCTCTTTCAAACCAGTAGACTTGTTGCTCTAAGACTTGGCGAGCCCGCTCCGCTGGAGGCCGCCTTATTAATAACGCCACCCATCCACCTCCCCATGATGGCGCCAGGCTTGGGGGAGGAGGGAACCAGGCTAACCCTTGGATAGCGCTGGCTTTTTAGTCCACTAATGAGTCTGCAGATTCCGAGAGTGCCCTTTCTTAAAGTCCCTAACCCAAGGTCCCCAGGTGGGCAGTGCAGAAACCCCACAGACTTTCACCCAGCGCTGGGGTAGCGAGGCCTCAGTATGCAGAATCATATGTCCTCGAGTCCACCCACAGACCCGGACTCCCTTCCTGAGTTTCTCCTCCACTCATTCCCCTTCACCCCCCTGCCCTCCTCATCCTCGTTTTCCATCCAGATCACCTAAATGGCCCGATCTAAATCGGTGGAAGGAAGATCTGGGGACCATACACTGCCCCTATCCTGATCCATGTAGTATTTCCTGGGGGGTGGCGGGGATAGCAGTTTCTAGTTGGGGGGAAGGGGTTAAGAGACGGATAGTGTTAGGGAGAGCAAGCAAGGAAGGAGCCAGGTTGAATTCCCAGTCTTTAACAGGCAATTCGCTCACCAATGAAAGAAAGCTGCAGTGGCAGATTCGAGCCACATGCGGTAGTGTGTAGCAATTAGTAGATAAAATGCTGACTAAAGTGCTAAAACATGAAGTATTATTGTAGCCAAGGTCAAAAATGCTTCAGTTGTCTTTTGCAATTTGGGGAGAGAGTAGGGGGAGGCCTGAGGGTGCGCAGAGAGAGGTTTGCATTTTTTTAAATGGTCGCCCTCTTTCTCCCAAACTGGACTTTAAACAAAATGAATTTATTTCTTTCTTTTTTATGAGCCTGTTTATTATAGCCCAAGCTGCCTAATTATGTCACTGCTGGGTTTTGCCACTAACTTAATCCGCCTGATCCTTTATGAAACGATTCACAGACACTGAATAATACGTCTCCTGCCTCCCCCCCCCCCAACCCCTTGAGGGGTGAGGATGAGTTTGGACATTTTTACCTCTTAAATAAACCAGATAGCTTTAAAACAGAGCATTAGCAGGGGTTTTGGCTAGCAAAGCAGTAGGAATATACATGTATGAGCATGGATCCTATGTACAGGAAAGAGCCCAGAAATAGTGGGTCATATAAACATAACTGCTCCCCCCTCAACTCCTCTTTATACATAGCAAGTCTCAGCTATCAGCTTTTTTAAATAGATAAATAAAGCAGTTGCTTTCATGATTATAACTGTCCTGAATGGATTGTCTCCTTACAACATTCAATCTGTTTATGAGTATTTACTTTACATTAGCCTAGGGACCCTGCTCTGCAGGAGTTTGCCTCGATTCCCCTGGGTGTCTGTGTCTCAAGTCTTACATCTGCTCTGTGATTGATGGAGCCTTGAATCTACGTTATTACTCTCTCACAAGCAGAAATCAAACAGGCTATTAACTACATTACTTCAAAGAACTGTTTCAATACAATCTCCTTATCTTAATTGAAACTTTCTTTGTATAGATATTTGCTACACAGATAATTTACAGGTACCTACCAAGCATCACATTAAAGAAGAGGTAAAATAGAGGTGGGTTTTTTTTTTAATACACACCATTGTGATCTGTAATTTTAAAAGCCATTCACAGTATTTGACTGGAGGTTTGATTTATTAGGTTTATTATGGTCATAAGGGTAGTGATGGTAATGTCAAAAGAAAGAGAAGATATCCCTGTGCTTTAGTTTTGAAATCTGATTGCAAGACTGCAGATATTTCGAAATATCCAGACCTAGATCCCTGCAATTGTTAACATCTAAAAAAAACCTTATCGAGGAATTTATAAGGAGAGAGATTACGTACGCAGCACGACGCCTAGTTCAATGCCTACCTAGAAGAGACATAGAAACCAGCTTTCTAATTAGATGAAGTCCCTTATAGACACTAAAAGACTTATGGCACTGAAGATAACAGAAGTTGCTTAGAAGCTTATAAAGAGCTGTATATTTTTTTAAAAGAGATATTTAATATACAATCGAGGGATACCCTTAGGCGTTCTGTTGAGGTTTCCTGCATAAATGTTGCTGCATTGGTCATACAGGAAACTGACTCAGAGTTGATCTCAAATGTGATCTTGTCAAAATATTGCAACTTAAGTTTTTAAATATAAGATTTCTTGAACTGCATGTATGTATTTACGCAAACAGGGCAGAGACTAACAGCCTAAGGGATCACTGGTTTTTAAAAATATGTTAAAATGCCCTTCAGTCAAATCCATTCATATGTAAAAAAATGGAACAAAATGGGCTATTCTAATCAAATATCTGCAGTATGCATCATAAAGTTAAAGAGAGAGAGCAAGAGCTGTAATTTCTCTTTGTAACCTATGTTTATAAAATAGGGAGATCAGATGAAATTTCAAGGAAGATAATTAAAGAGTGATGTGCAAGTCATAATTTGACTAATGCAAAAAATGGAAGACTGCGAATTGTCACATTGTCTTCCTCTATGGTGCAGAGTTGTGATATTACTTTAAATTATTAAAATAGTTTTCCACATCTTTCACAATACCGGCTCTTTGGCAAGGGCTTTTTATTACTTATTGTAATTGGAAGATCTGCCATTTTCTTTCGTTTATCTCTGTGTGTATAGAAACGAGATAGATCTTGCTTTTTATTACTTCCCCATGTTCTGAATCAAAAATGTGGTTTAGATAATGTTTAAGTGCCCTAATTCTTACTGCAGCGGACGCAGACGTTATGAAAAGGCATAAAAATACACACAGAGGGTCTTTCCACCTCAAGTCCCTGAATATGAAGCATTTGTGCACTGCCGGGTGTATTAACTTCAGCCATGTGAATATAATTTTCATTAAAGTAATCCTGTTTCAACTAGATGCTGTGACTAGAGGTGAAACGTTGCGAAAGCGTTAAAAATAGCTTACTAGTAATTTCAACATCCTGTAATTTTATCACAGATCAAGTTTCAACTGTCATACTATACAGACCTTATTCCCCATATATTACATGTTTACTTTTTTAGCATGCCAGACCCACTTTGGAAAGATTGGTGCCAATATAATAAAACCCGGGGGGGTGAGGTGGGGGGAGTGCTGGAAGAAGTGGGAGGAGAGCGGCGAAGGGGGTGGGGGAGCGTGGGGGAAAGCGAGTACACCATTTTACATCAACACTGCGAAAATGCAATCTAGCCTGGCGGAGGACCGGCAGCTGGGTCGGAGCGAGAGAGGGCTTTGCAGTCTCTGCCTGTTCCTTGTTCTGTCGCTCTTAAGTTTCTCTGTGTTTGCATAATAGCCGTGCATGCAAACCTCGCAATGCTCCAGGGCTCCAGAACAATAAATATACACATTTAAAGCCTTTATTGTCTTACGGTTCATGCCCCCGGTTTTCAACAGCTTAATTTCTGGTTGTATTTAACTAGTTTGCAAATGGATTTTCCCCCCAGTTTCAAACTATTATTGAGGAAGCTCCCCTCCCTTCCCCCCCCTTTTTTTTTGGCAGGGGAGGGGTTGGGGGTGGGGTAAGAGTCGGTATATTATTCCTGTAGCGCTGGGTTATATAAACACATTATCATTTGAGAGCGCCCTTGGCGTCCATCAGCATTGTAAACACGTACTAGTGTATATACTTCAAAATTAAAGAATGCACACTCAGAACCGGGAGCCTGAATTCATATTCCGAGCAGACCCGCTGCTCGCATTTATTGATTTATCATGCATCGTTTATTGTTCCAGTCCCTAAATGCAGTCGCTGTCCGTTCAATATTATTTGCAAAATCCTGAGATGTGTGTGCACTGCTCACTTGTCTTTCTGTTCTTTCTTTCTTTCTTTCTTTTTTTGGCTGAGTATTTTTTAAGCGAACAAATGCATTAATATTTATATGTTTATATAATCGATAACCCACTTTTCCCTTCCATGTAAATAGGCATCAAAAGATAATTTAACAGATTAGTTCTCGAAAACATGGCAGTGAGGAAGCGTAATTTAACTATCAAACAAATCTACATGTCTAATAACAGCAAATCTGCTAAGGAGCATTAGAAAGAGGAGCAGCGCCCCGGAATCTCTGCAGGAAATGTTCTTTATATTAGACATATACAAGCAGGTCCTGTCAGATGCACAGAGGAGTTCGCCAGCCCTAGGCGCCTCCAAAAATCTCATTAGGTGGTACTGCTCGGCTGGGGCAACTGGGAAGAGAGATAAAGCATTATCACATAGTTTTAGAGTGAATTTTATTTTTAGAAATCTTCCTATGTATTTTTTGCCTTGATCCATCCGCTTCCCGCCGAGATCGGACGTAGCCTTTCTTCCGATTATGAATTTGATCAACCTACATTTCTCAGGAATCCCACACTGTTTTGACAGGAGTTGAAAATTTAGTCGTCAGAGAAATATTAGAACATATTTTTAATCATTTTGGTGCCGGAGGAAAGGCAAGAGCTCAGTTTTATATTGAGACATTACGCCAGCTGAGGGCAGAGAATGTTTTTCCCTGCCAGGACCTGATGCAATCCATTCAAGCCAACAAGTTTGGAGAGAATGTTGAGTTCAATCAATTCAGAACGTCGAGATGGAGCCCAACTCACTCCAGGTATTTCGCTCTCCTCCGCTCCTCCGATCCCGGCACCCCCCGGCACCCCCCATCCCCCCAGCTCACCCACACCTCTACACCCACCCACACCCCCCACAAACTTTTCACCAAACTTTTACCCTCTGCATCTCCCCAAATCATTTTTATTGTGTTTTTTGATTTTTAAATCTCTGCACTGATCATACATACATAATGTAATTTTACCGCCTCAAATGAAGAGATGGGGAGGGGTGGCGGTGGGGGGCCCACAAGATTTTTTTTAAAGGGAGGCAAAATAATTTGTGGGCTATATTATTTTTCCACCCAGCGTTATATCTTTTGGCTCGTCTGTATGAAGAGTGTAGATGTCTGTGTGTAAGTGTGTCTGGGAATAGATGTATGTGCTCTAATGGCTACATTATTTATTTGGTGCCTTTTTTTCCCCCTGCAGTGGGTCGGCTCACCGTGTGGCTTGCACGGACCTTACATTTTCTACAAGGCTTTTCAATTCCACCTTGAAGGCAAACCAAGAATTTTGTCCCTTGGCGACTTTTTCTTTGTAAGATGTACGCCAAAGGATCCGATTTGCATAGCGGAGCTCCAGCTGTTGTGGGAAGAGAGGACCAGCCGGCAACTTTTATCCAGCTCTAAACTTTATTTCCTCCCAGAAGACACTCCCCAGGGCAGAAATAGCGACCATGGCGAGGTGGTAAACCTATCTCTCCCTCTCTTCTTTCTTTATTATCCCCCCGCACCCCCCCCCTCCGCCCCAGTAATGCTTATTACAGGGCAAGCTTGAAAATACTGTATTCACTTCTGCAGGCGAGCAAGATCGACTCCTTTTTTAAAGGGGTAGCGCCGCTAGCTGGGGCTCGAGTATTTTGCCATTGTCAGAGTTTGGCTGTCAGCTTTACAAAGAGGATCCAACTGCTGATCTTAGTCAAGATCAAATAACTTGTTCGAGAAGGGTTTTGTTCGAGAGTGAGTGAGTGAGTGTGTGTGTGTGTGTGTGTGCAAGATCGTTCACTCTCCTGCTGCTTGAACATCATAGGCTTTTTTTAAAAAAAATATTTTTTTTGTCTTTTGAAAAATTACCTTCGTGGCTGGCTCGGTGGAGGTGGGGTGGGTTTCTTTCGGTGGGTTTCGATATTGTTCACTTTTTTTTTTAAAGTATTTGATATGTTTAAGAGGGCGGAAATTACGAAATGGAGGCAGAGTGAGATCAAAAGCTATTGAGTTGGCAAAGACGTGTTGAATAAAGTGATAAATGACAGGTACTGGAATAATACATTCAAATAACTTGCAGATCTGCCCGGGCGGATTTCAAAGCGGTCGTGTAACCGGCACAAACACGTTAAGCATTAACAACTATCTCTCGCCCCCCTCCTCCCTTCCCCCCCCACCCCGCCCGTACAAGCCATTTGATGTTCTATTTGCAATGACTCCACGCAAAGTGGACGCCTTCCAGCACGATATTTGGGGGTGTGTGGGACGGGGCGGGGGCGGGGAGGGGAGAGGGGTGTGTGTTCGCCCCCGGGCCGGCAGGTCCAGCGATTTCCGAACCCAGACGGCGCTCCGGGGCGGGTGGGGAGGGACCCAGCCTCCCCGGCACGTTTCTGGGCGGCCGCGGGGGCGCTCGCTGCGCTCCCGGGAGGACACCCGAGGTGAGCCCGCTGTCACCGGGCGCCAGGGCGGCCGCTCCCTCCGGCTCTGTCATTTCATTTGTGACCGCAGTTCTGCGGGCTCCCCTCGTCAGCTGACCGACCTCAGCGCCGCGGTACCTACCGGGGAACTATTTTGGGGGCGCTTGTGCCCCCAGCGCGGCGGGGAAGGAGGGCGCCCAGCTGCCTGGCAGGGCTTTGTGTGGCCAAAACGAGAGCAGGGTAATCAAACTGAGACTTTTGAGGGCTGCTAGCTTTGGGTCAGGCTCTCGAGCTTTCGAGGTAGGTGTAAGGAGCTTTTTGTTGTTGTTGAATGAATGTTTCTCCCTGGAACTCATGACTGGTCTCTGAACTGCCAGTCCTTGCCGAATTCTTGGGTCTGATGGAGTTGATTGTACTTTTGGCATCGCCAGTCCACTCCCTCTCCCCGGGATCGAATTACCCATCAGTGGTCTATGCCGGTTAATTACTGGAGTTCGTCAAAACGTACGCCCTCGAATCTGCCTCTTCGGAATAAGCCCCACCCTCCTCCCCGAAAAGCTACCCCCTCCCGCCCGCCCTCACTCCCCGATCTGCAGCCACCACCACCCCTCCCGCTTCCCTCCCCCTTCCCTCTCCCCTTCTCTCTCCCCTTCTCTCCGATCAGCTTTGGGTCTTAAACGTTCCTATTTCCTGACATCCGCCCGTAATTTTACAAAGGTGTTGTTTGGAAATACTGTGCACAATCCTGCAACCAACCAACAGGTTGAGCTCTTTCCCCTCCCGAGGTCTCGCTCGGCCCCCCTCCCCCGACCCAACTTTCCTGCGCAGCTGTCTTCCTCCCCCTCCCCCTCCCCCTCCTGATTTCTTATTATTTGCTTTTCAAATTTATTACTTCAACATGGCCTGTGATCTGGAAAAGGGAAGGATTAAATATCCAAAAAAGAGCCAGTGCCTAATGGACTTCTGACTAAAACCCAGGAGGAAATTATTCAGTGTTTTATGGGATATTTTGTGATCACTTTTTTCGGGGCGTAGGGGTTGAAATTGGAATATAAAGACCCCGAGTTGACCCCACTGGACCAGTTTTAATTTCTTGTGTTATTAAATAGTGGATTCTGATTTAAGACTAAAAGCTGTATTAGTTGAAGATTGTATCTGCTAGAACTGCTGGTAGTAGATAGATATATTTTTAAACAGAGGTTTAAACACAGTGTTCATTATGGGGAATTGAAAGCGAACCATTGTAATGAGCAGTTCATTTCGTCACTGCTATATGAGCCATACCTGAGAAAATTAATCTTGCCATTTAAAAGTAAACTCTAGGGGGGTTGCGGAGGGAGATGGCTCTATTTATAATCCTCAGCTGCATATACATCGTCTAATATTCTGCATGATTTGTTTTTTAATGCTAACGGCTGGTAATTAGCGGTATGATTATACTTGTATATTTCATTAGGACTTTGGCTGATGTCATTGTGAATTATTCAGCCATATTAAAACAATTTTCAATTGAGATAATGACACGCCTCAAAATTATGCAAATACAGGCTGCATTGTGCAAAATAATTATGACAAATGTAAAGCAGGTAGAAAGTTTCCCAATGCAGAGCGGTTTTCCACCCTGGTGACGTCATTTCCCCCCTGGCCTAAGTTAGTCATTCATTAGCCGAATAGCAGCGGCAGTCTCTTCTAGAGAGACTGCAGAAACCAGCATTTACAGTCGGCACCTAGAGGGGGCAACAGGGCCCTCTGATTAAGAAATCTGCTTTGTTTTCACTTACTCCATTAACTTGTTTATATACAATGAGATTATTTTTATTATTGATCTGAAATAGTTTTGAATGATGTATTTGTCCTTGTAAATGCAAGAGAAGGATTCCTTGGCGATAGGCACTGTTTCTTGGAGAAAATGTTCAGCACATTTAATCAGCCAGTACAGTTTATTTTAAGTAACCAAATGGAGGTTAATAATTTCTTGATTGAGCTGACATCAGCATCCATTTCAAAAGGACAGCCAGGACTTTGAATGCTTTTTTAGTGGAAGAGAATCATTCTATCTTTTGATTTCTTGGAATGTAAAGATGTCAATTCTAAAAGAAGGAAATTGATAATTTATTGAGATTAGAAATTGCATCTCTGTGGTTTTAAAAGGCTTTTAAAAAAAAAATAAAAAGAAAAGAAAAATTGAAATATTTTTCTCATTGTCCTTTGCAGTAATCTTATAAGCCCAGGCCAGACAGGATTTCATATCCCCATTTTACAGATGGGGATACAAGTCTGCAGAGGTGATGTCATTGTCAGAGGTCACCTACTAGGCAAGGACCAAAGTCACTATAAGCTTAAGTTTAGAATGTTGGTGTGTTTTTTTTTCTGTGTGTGTGTTATTCCATTGAACCTCTCTCTTAAAACCAGAGTCTGAATGGAACATAGTATATTCTAGAAGCATGTTAAAAAATAAGCATTTTAGAACTGTGCCTAGCTAGTCAGGTCTGCCAAAGGTCATCAGATATTTAGGGAACTGAACTATTTTTATTTTATAAAGTTCAGCTATTTATAGTCAGTTAATTA